TATGAATTATAAGCCCGCGAGTAGACTAGTCTTAGAGGAGTTAAGGGGTGAAATCGATGATTCCCCACCGAGTGCGCAAGTAGATACATCACATAATACTGCAACACGACACACTGAGAGTGTACCAGTGCAGACAGTGCCTCGTCGCAGTGGGAGGGTTTCTCATTTACCCGACCGATGGATAGGTCTTGGAGAGTCGTCAAACTCAGTTCCGGGAGGCCTAGAATCGGACCCAAGAACTTACGATGAGGCACTCGAAGATAAAGATGCAGATTCATGGAATGTTGCAATGAAAGCTGAAATGGGGTCAATGGACTCCAATCAGGTCTGGGATCTTGTAGAACTACCCGATGGGGTACGACCCACTGGATGTAAGTGGATCTATAAGAGAAAGAGATGATTGGATGGGAAGGTGCAAACCTTTAAAGCTAAGCTTGTTGCGAAAGGTTATACCCAGATCGAGGGTATTGATTATGATGAGACCTTTTCGCCAGTAGCTATGCTTAAGTCCATTCGGATTCTCTTGGCTGTAGCTGCTCATATGGACTATGAGGTCTGGCAGATGGATGTCAAGACAACTTTCCTTAATGGGAACCTGCAAGAAGACATCTATATGCAGCAACTAGAGGGATTCATTGCTGAAGGTTGTGAGCATCTAGTGTGTAAGCTTAATCGGTCTATTTATGGACTGAAGCAAGCTTCGAGATCTTGGAACATCCGTTTTGATGAGGTGATCCAGTCGTACGGGTTCACTCAATGTCCGGATGAGCACTGTGTTTACAAAAAAATCAGTGGGAGCGTGGTGGTGTTTCTTGTGCTTTACGTAGATGACATACTGCTTATTGGAAACAATAAGAAGGAGTTATCAGACGTAAAGGTGTGGTCGTCTAAGCAGTTTGATATGAAGGACTTAGGTGAAGCAGGACACATTCTTGGTATTAGGCTCATTAGAGATCGTAAGAAGAGAATGTTGTGCTTATCACAGTCTTCATACATAGATACTGTCTTGGCCAGATTCAGCATGCAGGATTCCAAGAAAGGTATGTTACCTTTCAGACATGGAATACCTCTATCTAAGGAGATGATCTCCTAAGACGTCTAAGGAGATAGAGGAGATGAATACAGTTCCTTATGCTTCGGCAGTAGGAAGTCTCATGTATGCTATGCTATGCACTAGGCCAGATATTAGCTACGCCATTGGCATGGTAGCTAGATATCAAAGTAATCCAGGACGGGAACATTGGTCTGCGGTGAAGCATATACTCAAGTACCTGAGAAGGACTAAGGAGTACATGTTAGTTTACCGTGCAGGCAGCTTGTTACCTCTGGGTTACAGTGATTCCGATTTCCAGTCAGATAAGGATGAAAGTAAGTCAACCTCAGGTTATGTGTTTACCTTGGGAAGTGGAGCCATTTCATGGAGGAGTGCTAAGCAGAAATGCGTGGCAGACTCCACCATGGAAGCCGAGTACATAGCAGCCTCAGAGGCAGCGAAAGAGGCAGTTTGGCTCAGGAACTTCTTAGTGGACTTAGAGGTTATACCGAGTTTGCCACGTGGTATCACCGTGTACTGTGATAACAGTGGAGCAGTAGCGAACTCAAAAGAACCTCGAGCCCACAGGGCAAGCAAACACATAGAGCGCAAATACCATCTGATTCGGGATATCGTTGGTAGAGGAGACGTTGATGTTGCCAAGATTGCGTCAGAGGACAACCTAGCTGATCCTTTCACGAAGAGTTTGCCGGGGAAGGTCTTCGTCAAACACGTGGAAGGAATGGGAGTCATGAGCATGGCAATAGGATCGACATAGGTCTTTTAGAATAACGGATTGATAGGACTATACTGTAAAAGCGAAAGCTTTAAGTATAAGTGGGAGATTGTTAGTGTTATATACTGAAAGCTTGGCTTTGCATGTTATTACACATTTACCCTTTATGAATGAGAATCATGTTAGATTAAACAAGTTCTACGTTCTGTTGTTCTGCACTTAGATAGGGTGGGTCGTCATCGGGCGAACCGAAGATCACTCTATCAGTCACTTGCGAACAAGAATAGTTGTTCACAACCTAGATGGACATGAACACCCCATCCGAACGGTTGTAGTGTCAACTGTACAGTTTGTCTTGACTGATTAGTTGCACTAGTACATTTATGTATTGAACAGGATCCCAGAGAGGAGAAGTTCATTTTATACTGATCGTCGTAAATGAACTAGGCCTCGGTTAATTACTGCGTTCTCTTAACCCGTAAGATATTAAACAGGCATATATATATAATATATATTACTTTGATTCACATGAGTGAGGTTCAGTTCGCTGGATTAATATTCCTACTGTTTTGGGTAATATTATTATATATAGGATGTGCTGTTAGGATATTTACGGTCACCATGTGCGTTAGTTTGATGATGTCCCCGGAGTGAGTTCATGAAGGATTGTTATGCTAAACCCTGCAGGTGGATTAAATTCGGGCATAATAAGAATGTGATGAACGAGCGCAACCTTCGGTGAAATAATAATAAATTAATTAATTCTTGATTGTCAGTAATCGAATTAATTAATGGACATTATATCTTAAACGTGAGGAGGTAAATCGAGTAATTATTATTGGAGTCTCAAATGTAATTTGGGCTAGGGAAAGGGAGTGCAATAATATAATGTTGGTGGCCCATTAATATTATTTAATTAATTAGAGGAGTGGGTTTGGCCCACAGTTAGTCTAATTAATTAAGGAGCCCTTTTCCTAATCTCCTTAGGGTCCCTATTGTAGCTCTATATATACATCATTAAGCTCATGAGAAGAGAACAGAAGTCTCATTCTCACGTGAAACACGCCTCTCTCTCTAGATCTCATTCGCGCTTTATCTTCTTCTTGTTGCTCCACTGGTACAGTTGAAGAATGGTGTATTGAGTAATACAGTAGAAGATCTGTAGGTAAAACGAGACGAAGTATATTTTGACCTACAGAACTACCCGGAAATCCGATTGAGACTTACAGTATACCCAGACGACCGTCTTGATGAGAGCTTTCCATCGCCGCCGACGTCGCCGGAATCCGACGCCTCACGCGCCCTCACGCGCCGCTGGAAGGTGTCTGGCAGCAAAATTTCGTTTTGATCTGTTTGCATCCGTTTGATCCAGTTTTGATCTGATCTTGTTCGTGCAACCCAAGACGCGTGTTGCGGTCAATCAATTGCGGTCAACCGTTCGTGGTCAACCAGATCTACATAAATTTTAAGCCGTAAGTTCTCTACGTTAAACCTTTAGATCCGCTGCGCATAGGTTTACGTTTGCTATTGAATTCGTGATTTGTACATAACGAGATCCTCACAGATCCCAACAGCTACCATCCTTCCTCCTAAGCCTGCCCATAAGAAAAAAAGTAGCTAAAGTCTCTTCTCCCCAGCGAACCTCTTCTTCTTCGCTCATTGCAGGATGGCTAAACACTAATGTCGTCAGTCATCCTGTTGGTTGGGCTTTTAGATCTCCTCGCTTCGGGGAGACTTATGACCATTCACCCGAAAATAACTATACCTTCTTCGAGATTCAGTTCAAACTCGGGTTCCGCTTTCCCCTATGCCAGGATTTGCTCGATATATGCGACTGGTTCGACCTCCAGTTGAACCAGCTTCCTCCCAATGCTATCTGATTCATCACCATATTCATTATCCTCTGCCACATCCATTTGGGTCGACTCGACCTAGCCTTTTTCCATTACTGCTATACGCCATCCAAACACTCTCATGGTCTTTACCTCAAGTGCCGCAATGATGTCCACTTCATCTCCGATACCCCTTCTAATGTCCCAAAATTGAAAGACAAATTTGCTTTTGTCGAGCCCACTCCTCCCTTTCCATGGGCACCAACTCCTTGGCTCACACAGCTCCCGCACGAGCATACCTCTCCCCCTCAAAGTGAGCTTTTCCACCAATGGATAGCTGTGTGGAACACCAAGCTCGTTGCGTCGAAGCTTCTGCTCGAAGATGAAGACCTTTTACATTTCTGCGGTCTTCTTACCCACAAGTCTTGTCCTCATCCTGCTCTAAAAACTCTCGATCTTATCCAAATGAAAGATGATCCAGGTACTTACTATTGAGTGAGCTTTTCGACCAACGGGTAACATGTTTGTTCCACATGTTATTTATCTGTTATGGTTCTAATTTGTTCATGATCTCTTACAGAGATGCCTGCTATCTCTGTGCGTAGGAGAAAAGCTCCTTTGAAGAGGAAGCAAGCCGCCGAGGGGTCGAGCTCGAAGATCTCTGACTCGACCACCTCCCAATCCGCCCGTTCGACTTCACCGCCTCCAGAATTGACCATCGAGCAACCATCCTCGATCAACCTTCAAGATGACCAACAACCCAAGCAACCAAAACAGCTCGAGCAACTGGCATCTCCTCGACCGCACTCTCCTCCGCACGGACCCTTGAATCCAAAGGTACCGGCCGAGAACCAGGAAAGCACCCTACCTCGTAGATCTGTAACCGTGACAATGGTATTATTGAAACTTGATTGAACATGAATAAGTCTCTTTGGTACTTTATGTGTACTCTTACGTGAAATAATACGTACCTTTCTGCTTGAACCAATACGTACAATTCTGCGTGAACCATTACGTACATTTCTGCGTGAACCAGTTCTCGGTCTAGCTTTTGTCATGCTCTATCATCTTTTTTCTTTTCCAAAAATAATGCCCTTTTTTATAGTAGATAATAGAAAATAGTAGATAATAGCAAGTAGTAGAAAGACTAATCCATTATTTCTTTCATCGCTCCCAACATGCCAATATTCACACTAATGGTACGTAGACCAAATAATACAATGCAAGCAAAGGTTCCTAGATTCATGGAGATATAGAACAGCATATAAGTTATCATGCTTGCATATCCATCGTTTGAGTCTTTAACAATTATTCCAATAATTACATATCCGATTTGACGTTTTACCAAATTGCACGTAAAAATATTGATAATACACATAGAGTTAATAATATTTCATAACTAAATTGATTGATCAGCAGCCCTTAATTCACCAAAAAGGAAATATTTATTATTTGACCCATATTCTGACATAAGAAGTCCAATGGGAGCAAGACATGGAAGGGCAATCCACAAAAAAGCATCAATGCTAAGATCCGCTAGAATAAAGCGATAGCTAAAAGGAATTACTGAATAATTTAGTAAAATGGATATGACTGCTGTTGGTGAACCGATACTGAATAAACTAGTATTTCCTCTAGAAGGAAGAAGATTCTCTTTGAAACTAGTTTTGTACCATCAGCTAGAACTTGCAGAATTCCCAACAGCCCGGCGTATTCAGGTCCAATATGTTGTTGTATTCCCGCAGATATTTCTCTTTCTAACAAAATAATTAGTAGTATACCAGGGGTGATTCCTAATACACTAGGCTCAAGCGCCCATATGATTCTGCAGACTTCTTTGAATTTTAAGGATTCTAATCTGGAAAGGAATTGATAGTTTCTATTTCTGTTGTATCAATTATTATTTCAACGAGAAAATTATCCCATAATTTATGCTACCTAATATCGTAATGATATCAGCCAATTTCTTTTTGTTAACTAATTGTGGAAAAATTTGCAAGTTGATAAAACCCGGAGGTCTAATTTCCCATCTCCAAGGAAAAAAAATTATGCATTGTGCGCATACCAGGAGCAGCTTCGAATAGGTCATATCTTAATTCTCGTTCTCGAAAAATATAGAAGAGAAGAATGGGGTCTCTGCCCTTCCCCCAATCTCCTATAAAAGAACCAGGTCATAACAAATATGAGGCGATACGGCAACATAATAGCTCTGATATAGCTAGCTCTTTTAGATACTTATATTTCCTATCTGTTCGGGTCCATTTACGGTTATTGATTCTGTGAACATAGTAGCTAAATAATCCCAACGTGTTACATAAGGCAAATATTGTATAATTGCTTGATTTTCCCCTATTTTTTTCCATCCCTCTGTGTAAATTCGGTTCACAGTCAATAACGTCAAGAATAACAATCAGTTCAAGAACACTATGCGTTGATGGGTGGTGAGGACCCATATTGACTATCATAAGGTCTTTTCTTGTAGTTGGTACAATCCTAAGTTTTCTCGATTCATTCTCTCGCCCATTGCCGAAAGTAAAAACAAGTTCGTTTAAATTGAAACGATTAGGCTCAAATGGTATCACGCTTCAAATTAACAAGTTTTGATCTCTCGAATATCCAACTCGCCAATTAATTTTTTATAGCGCTTTCTATTTCTTTTTGACAAATAGGTCAGCAGCCGTTGACGTTTTCCCAAAACTTTTCGCAAACCCCTCTGAGATGAAAAGTCTTTTTTGTGTACTTTTAAATGGGAAGACAGTTCCTTTATCTTCGTGGTGAAACTGAATACTTGAAATTCAACAGACCCTCTACTTTCTTTGTTTTCTTTTTGAGAAATAACTGAAATGGATGCATTTTTTACCATAAAAAAACCCTTTCCTTTTTTACATTACAGATATGGATTTTATCGATCAGTAATAATAATACCACCAATTTTCTTAAATTTCTTAAGAACTCCTAATTTTCTAAATTCTGTAACTCAATGAATCAAAAAATCGAATTGTCAAAAAAGCGTTCAACTAGATCAAATGAAAAAAATTCTTCAAAAAGTTCTAAGGTTTTCTTTTTCAATCGTGGATACAGTTATACCCTTAACATACTGAAACGACTGCCATTATTCGTATCAAACCAATAACGATTCATACAAGCTAAATCTTCTAATCGATAATTAGGCCAAAGAAAAAGCTTTAATTTCAGTAATTGATTTTTCTCTCTATCAAGATGCTTATTGTCACGGGAAACTTGGGTGCTGCTTTTTTTCTTCTTTTCGTTCCAAAATACTCGATTTCTATCTATATCATTTCTAGTCTTTGGTTCGGGTTTGAAACAAATTAGAATTCTCAATTTTCTATGACGTCTAAACGATAAAATATTTTCAGGAACAGGAAAAAAAAACGACTTTTATCTCTATTTTCTATTATTCTTTGATGGGTTGAAATAGCTTCATCAAAATGATTTTTAGAAAAATATCCTTGCTCTTGGTAGTTTTGATTAGTTTGGTCTTGACTCTTAGGAATCGATGAAATACCTATGGTTTGATACATAATAAACTGTCCATCTTGTTTTTCAGGCAGACTAAGGTGTTATATATAGATGATTCCCTCGGTTAACAAAGAGGGAAAAGTTATGAAAGACTCAGAAAACATCAAGCGTAACCGCGTCCTTCTCTTATACATCCTAATCAGGAAGTTTAAGAGGTGTATTGTTGCAGCCCCCTTGACTTTAACCAGGGTAAAAGTTGTCTTGTCAAGCTGCCAGATTAGGTTGTATATATAATAACCAGGTAGGTCCCAGCCCAGCTGAAACTCCTCATTTTGCATTATCAACCCTACACCTTGCTCTCTTTGCGTATTGATTTTGTATTTTGTTTCCTTTTTCACGCCTGACTATCCAAACTTTTCTTCTTCTTCTTCTGGTTTTTTTCTTCTGGTTTTTCTCTTAGAATTTTCTTTCTATTCAAATTTAAAAGAAGTAATTTACTTAGTATAGACCAAGGTTTCATTTTATATGCACTAGAAAATGATACAAGTTCTAAGAAGAAGAAAGATACCCCATTTGGTCTGGGACGCTTTAACATTTTTTCATTCATTCCCATCCAATCAAAAAAAACTTCGGGAGAATTTGGTGGATTTTTTTTTTCTGGAAGTAATGGATTTTTTTCTGGAATCATAAAACAAATATCTTTTTTAGTTTTATAAATTCTTTTCAAATTCTTAGTAAGAATTTGAGTATTTTGATCCCTAATATCAATTTTTTGTCTAAGATCAAAATCGAGAATTTTGCAATCAAAATATTTTCTATCGACCGTTTTTTCCCTTCCTAGATTATTATTTAGATAATTCTTAATCTTAATAGGGATGTTTCTCAGCATATTGAAAAAGGTCTTTTTAGACGTGTAAGAACAATCTTGTTTCTTATTTCCTTGAAATGGAGGTATATAAAAAAAAAAGCATTCCATTTTAGTTTCATAATTAAGAAATTTAGATGATAAAAGATCATACCTAACATCTTTTTTAAAATGCTTTTTTTTATTATCTAATGAATATTTTTTTTTTTTTTTTTGTTATTTGGAATCAACTAATTGGTCTTTTTCATATGAATGCCATTTGCTTAAAATTTCCTTGTTAGCTATATGACATTGACGAACCCTATTTCGCCATTTTTCTGGTATTAATTTAGAACAGTTTATCTGAGATAAATTGTACTAATAATGTCCTCTTAACCAGTATTTCCATTGATTCATTTCAGAACTTGGAAGTTTCTTTTCCCCTAATTTGGAATGAACCGCCCCTCGCCTTTCCAAAGAATCTTTTATTTCGGGTTTCAGAAAAAAGGGTATTTCTTGATAGTGAAGAAGAGATCTTAATTTATCCGAATTACTAACTTGGATTTTGGCTAATTTATAAAATACATATGCTTGTGACACGTCGGATAAGTCATAACAAGAATATGAATCTTCTTCACTATTACTATCTTCACCATTACTAATAGTATGGCGTGACTTTGAAATAAACGGAATTCGATTTGTCTTTTTTTTCTTAGTTTCTTCTTGTTTTCTTTCATTAGTGGAAATGGATTTATAAATAATAAGACTTTCTTTTATTAATTCAATAAAAATTTCTGTCTTCATTTTCAAATTTTTAATGCTATATAAAAAGATATCCTTTTTCTTGATTTCTACTTTTTATTTAGCCAATTCAAAGTCAAGCCACAACGATACGAAAGGACTTTTCACACATAGTAGTGGGGAAAAATATAGGTTTAGTTCATATTTTAGTTCATACATATTTTAGTTCATATATAACTAATCAATATCAAATATCACATATACATGCCATTCTTCCATAACGTAAACCGTTAGATTCAAATGGATTCGAGAATTAATTCATTTTGTTAGGAATTCCCTCTTTATTATAAATTATTTTCTCCCTTCCGCTTTCACTATCATTATTCCAACCGAATACATTCTAAACGGTCTATTAAATTTGATTAGGGCGAATTCTCGCTTGCATAGAAATAGCCTTATTTGGTTAATCTAAGTTCATGCAATTTCTTGTTTATTACTATTTTTTTGGGGGGGGCAATTGTTGAATAAAATCAAGCATTAAAGTAAAGTTAAATCCCTTCTTCTGCTTTGCCTTCGAAAAAATTTCACTCCATTTTAAGTTGGAGAGTTCTTCATAAAGTATAGTGAAGATATCTCCAGTAACCACAGGAAACAAACTTCTTGAGTTGAAGGGAAAAAAAAGAGGGGTAATTGGGTCTTTGTAATGTGTTGAAGTTGCCACTTTACGTCTGAGAGTTCGCAGAGAACCTTTGATTATATCTTGCTCCCAGTCGTGGCGCCTAATATAGCATAGAAAATATAGTTCCTCTTGCTCTTGATTGGTAGAACTAGAAGCCTTAGAACTGTCATGCGTATCAAATTCTATGTCACACATAGCTTTTCTTGTACGAATATCAGAAGTTTCGTGCTTCTTCTTGTCAGCGGTCTCGCCCGGTATTGCAAGTTCTAAGTCATCAAATAATCTGTATAACCACCAAAAGACTTTTTTCCTGAGTTCTTTTATTCTAATTTTAGTAGATTTGATAAGATTTTTTTGATCAATAACATCAGTTGCAACTTTTTTTAGATATTTTCCAAAAAGGATACGATAAATTCGATTCGTTCCAAAATTTTCTGCGGATTTGTCTACCAGAATTTTTTTTTGGGATTTTGGCAGAAAATGTTTTCTTAAATATGCTGTTTTGTTCATCTTTTGATTTGTCGATTGTTTTCCGAGATGATCCACTCAGGAAAGGATCATATTTCTTTGCAAAGTATTCTTTTGTATAAGGGTTTTTACATAACCGAGTCCTTGTCTCGAGCATATTCAAAGGTCTAGATTTTTCGTCTAGGCCATTAATTCGATATAGCAAATCGTCGGTGAAACCTTTCCTTTTTAGATGATACCGCCAAGGGTTGTAGGGTGAAGCTTTTTTGCCCGATATCCTTTTTTTTTATCATTTCCAAAAAAATGGATAAATTGGGTGTAGATGTAAAAGAGATTCTTTCGTTTTCATCACTTTTACATATGTCAACAAAATATTGGGAGATTTCGGTTCTGACAGCCTCTATATGATTCAGAGTATCACGAGGTATTTAACGACAATCAGAACAAATCATACTAGAAAAGTCAATTATTCTATCATTGAGATGCGACAACTTCGGGCTATGTATCCTCCTCCACCTACACCGTATTATTTTGAGGTGTTCAAAAATTTATGTGTAGTTCCACTTTCTGACGACAATGAGTCAGAATTAGAGGACTGGATAGAGATAACGGTGGGAACTACATGCAATTTCATAGATTTTCATTTGAATAATACCTATTTGACGTTGGCGATCTATTTGGATATTCTCATCGATATCATCTCAAGGCCCATCAATGGAATCGCTTTTTGGATAAATTCGATACATATATCTCATACAAGTAAAGAGATCTATTCATTGATAAGAAGAAGAAAAAACGTGAATGGGGATTGGATAGATAATAAAATACAATCCTGGGTCGCGACCACTGACTTTATTTTTTATGACGAAAAATCATTCTTGGTTCAGTTCTCCACCTTAAGTTTAAGTACAGAAAAAAGGATTGATCAAATTCTATTGAGTCTGACTCAGCATAGTGATCATTTATCAAAAAAAAGACTCTGGTTATCAACTGATTGAACAATCGGGAGCAATTTACTTACGATACTTAGTTGACATTCAGAACAAGTATCTATTGAATTATGAGTTCTATACATCCTCTTTAGCAGAAAGAACAAAAAAAATGGGAAGTTTATTCATTAGATAATAAAAAAAGGCATTTTCAAAAAGATGTTAGGTATGATCTTTTATCATCTAAATTTCTTAATTATGAAACTAAAATGGAATGCTTTTTTTATATATCTCCATTTCAAGGAAAAAAGAAACAAGAGATTTCTTACACGTCTAAAAAGACCTTTTTTAATATGCTGAGAAACATCCCTATTAAGATTAAGAATTATCTAAATAATAATCTAGGAAGGGAAAAAACGGCAGATAGAAAATATTTTGATTGCAAGATTCTCGATTTTGATCGTAGACAAAAAATGGACATTAGGGATCAAAATACTCAAATTCTTGCTAAGAATTTGAAAAGAATTTATAAAACTAAAAAAGATGTTTGTTTTATGATTCCAGAAAAAAAATCCATTGTTTCCAGAAAAAAATCCGCCAAATTCTCCCGAAGTTTTTTTTGATTGGATGGGAATGGGTGATTGGATGGGAATGAATGAAAAAATGTTAAAGCGTCCCAGACCAAATGGGGTATCTTTCTTCTTCTTAGAACTTGTATCATTTTCTAGTGCATATAAAATGAAACCTTGGTCTATACCAAGTAAATTACTTCTTTTAAAATTGAATAGAAAGAAAACACTAGGGACGATACCGTAATTAATCGTATTCAAGTGTGAACGCAACGCTGTATGTTCTAACCTCGTCCGGTAGTATAGTTAATTGTTAGTGGGATTTTAATAATATTTTAAAAAAATATTTAAAATAAAATGATTATTAATGATTTGATGTAAAAGTAGGATATAAATGATTGAAAAACCAGAAGAAGAAAAACCAGAAGAAAAAAAACCAGAAGAAGAAGATAAGTTTGGAAAGTCAGGCGTGAATTCCACTTATAAGACTTTGGAACAATTCAAAAATTACAGAAACGAAAGGATTCAGTTTGAAGAGCAAAGGGCGATTAATCAAGTCCGACAACGGGTTTTCCAGCAAGCCTTACAAGGAGCAATAGGAACTCTGAATAGTTGTTTGACCACCGAGTTACATTTACGTACCATTAGTGTGAATATTGGCATGTTGGGAGCGATGAAAGAAATAATGGATTAGTCTTTCTACTACTTGCTATTATCTACTATTTTCTATTATCTACTATAAAAAAAGGGCATTATTTTTGGAAAAGAAAATAGAATTAAAAAAAGTTCATGCTAACCATTCGAGCTGACAAAATTAGGAATATTATCCGTGAACGTATTGAACAATACAATAGAGAAGTCAAGATTGTAAATACCGGTACCGTACTTCAAGTAGGCGATGGTATTGCTCGTATTCACGGTCTTGATGAAGTAATGGCGGGTGAATTGATTGAATTTGAAGAAGGTACAATAGGCATTGCTCCCTAATTTGGAATCAAATAATGTTGGTGTTGTATTAATGGGTGGTGGTTTGATGATACATGAAGGAAGCTATGTAAAAGCAATAGGAAGAATTGCTCAGATACCAGTGAGTGAGGCTTATTTGGGCCGTGTTATAAACGCTTTGGCTAAACCTATTGACGGTAGAGGTGAAATTTCAGCTTCTGAATCTCGATTAGTTGAATCTCCCGCCCCGGGTATTATTTCCCGGTGTTCCGTATATGAACCTCTTCAAACCGGGCTTATTGCTATTGATTCGATGATCCCTATAGGACACGGTCAACGAGAATTAATTATTGGAGATAGGCAGACTGGTAAAACAGCCGTAGCCACAGATACGATTCTCAATCAGCAAGGGCAAAATGTAATATGTGTTATGTAGGTATTGGGCAAAAAGCATTTTCTGTCGCGCAGGTAGTAACTAATTTACAGGAAAAGGGGGCCATGGAATACACTATCGTGGTAGCCGAAACGGCAGCTTCCCCTGCTACATTACAATACCTCGCTCCTTATACAGAAGCTGCTTTGGCTGAATATTTTATGTACCGTAAACAACACACTTTAATAATTTATGATAATCCCTCCAAACAAGCCCAAGCTTATCGTCAAATGTCTCTTCTATTACGAAGACCGCCTAGCTGCGAAGCTTATCCAGGGGATGTTTTTTATTTGCACTCACGCCTTTTGGAAAGAGCCGCTAAATTAAGTTCTAGTTTAGGTGAAGGAAGTATGACCGCCTTACCGATAGTTGAAACTCAATCGGGAGATGTTTCCGCGTTGGTTTGCACAACCCTAAAATTATTCTAAGAATCTACAAGAAGATCAAAAAATAAGAGATTTTATAAAAAATTATATACAAAAGAATCTGAAAATATCCTCCTATGCCGAAGGAATTGGCCGTATAGAGATTGAAAAAGGAATCGATTTAACGACAATCAGAATCTTTATGGGATTCCTGATGCAAGGTGGATTTGGGTTGTACCAAGTCTGAAACCAAGTGGATTTATTTTTTGTCCCATACCACCCCACTGCTATACATATCAGGATATACTCCAGTTGTCTTTTTTCAGCTAGGATTTTTTAAAGAATACATTTCTTCATATTCAACTAAAGATATATCTTTCACTACAATAGTTATATGACAGGTAGTTCTTTTTATCGCATAACTACGTCCTCGAGCTCGAGGTTCCAATTTCTTCCTGGCAGTACCCTCATTAAACTCAACTTTACTAATTACTAAATTGGCTTTGGTGGAAGCCATATTTAAAGCCGGCTATCGGAATCGAACCGATGACCGTCGCATTACAAATGCGATGCTCTAACCTCTGAGCTAAGCGGGCTCACATAATAGATAATATTATCGCTGCATACATAGGAATGGAATACACTATTATTATAGACTGTAGAAATATAAAAAAAGAATCTATAATTTCCAATATTAAATATTTATTGAATATTCTAAAACAGAACGATTTATATAGCAATATAGAATTTTGATTTCTTAATCACAATTCTAAACTCGAAGATAATTTGAATATTATTCTCTTCAATACTAAATCTTAAATATTTTTAGATAGTCAAATTTTCTTTTTTGTTTTGGATTCACATCCCATCCTGTTACACTTCTATATTATATATCCTATATACCTATATATTTATATATTTATTTTATATATTTAGTTTAAATTTATTTATATTTTGAATTCCAGTATCAACGTTGGCAATGGTCGGGATAGCTCAGCCGGTAGAGCAGAGGATTGAAAATCCTCGTGTCACCAATTCAAATCTGGTTCCTGACACAGGTTTCATTTGTATGAAGTTTTTCTTTTTTTCTTTCGGCTTTCGGTCAGGTCAAAAGAAACGTGAATACTTCTTTGAATTTGAAAGGTTAAATTGGTTGCATGAAAGAAGAAAATATCGAAGTTCAAATAGACAAGATTCGGTTCAGATACAAATAAATCCGAGTTGATACCCTTTCAATTCTTTGGGATCCTATTACATGAATAGCCTCAGGTACACCTGTTACAATTTTGACCGTCCAGTAACCAATTTGGTCCCGAGGTAAGGAATAACCAGTTACACCAAAAGATGCGGTCAATACTGCTAGAACCACACCTGTAACCCAAATTAATTCGCGAGGTTTTTTAAATCCACCGGTGAGATATACACGAAAAACATATAGAATCATCATTAGGACCATCATACTTGCCGACCATCGATGAACCGATCGAATTAACCAACCAAAGTTAGCTTCCGTCATTATGTATTGAACAGAGGCAAAAGCTTCAGTAACGGTCGAACGATAGTAAAAAGTCATGGCAAATTCCGTAGCTACTTGTACTAAAAAAACAAGTAAGCGTAATTCCCCCTAAACAATAAAGTATATTGACATGGGGCGGAACATATTTACTGGTTATATCATCCGCAATCGCCTGAATCTCGAGACGTTCTTCGAGCCAATCATAGACTTTATTGAGATAGGTGAAAATCCCCCTTTCAGAGCCGTATATGAGACTTTCATCTCGTACAGCTCAAGCAAAAACACCCAAATAAAATAATAGTAGGATCGGACATGTAATAGAAAGTTTGAAACTTCTGAATCTCCGATTCAATCTTCTCTACATCTACGAAAGAAGAAAAAAATCCAAAACTTCTTAGTGATAATTTTATAATGATAATACCAAAACATCAAGCTGGCTCAATCGTCGGTATGTTGATCCTTACGGGCCTCTTGAATCCTCTCTTTACCTATTTTTCTGTAATTTGTTTTTGTCTCTAATGTGGGTTTTTTCCTTTCTTTATTATTGAATTGATAGGAATTCTCTTGTTAAAACCCTATGAATCGATTAAAACCTCAGATTCAAACTAGAACTACGATGATTGCTTTCCATCGCAATCATGAGATTCTTTTTTTATATTTCTACAGTCTACAATAATAGTGTATTCCATTCCTATGTATGCAGGGATAATATTATCTATTATGTGAGCCCGCTTAGCTCAGAGGTTAGAGCATCACATTTGTAATGCAACGGTCATCGATTCGATTCCAATAGCCGGTTTTTCCTATTTTTCATGTTTTTCTTCAATTTCTCAAAAACGGAGAATCTTCTTTATTTTGAAATCAAAAGAATATTGAAAAAATGTTCCCCCTCCCTTTCCTTTTCCAAAATCCATGAATTGATTAAGTTATACGAACTCCCAGCTATGTCGGGAAAAGGATCATTTATATTTTATATAAATATAATAAATATAATAATAGAAATATATAATAATAGAAATTATATAAAGTTTGAATATTTACCCAACTTATCTCATTCTTCTTTATTTTTATTTATAGTACAAATATACTACTTCAACAAACTTATCTCATTCTTCTTTATTTTTCTTTATAGTACAAAAAAAGAACAAATTACGATAAGAGGCCTAATATTAACAATCTCAGTATACAAAAGACGGTCCCAAGTTCAAGCACAAGAAAGTCGAAGTATATACTTGATTCGATACAAACTTTTTTTTTTTGGAAGATCCGCTATGTTAATGAGAAAGATTTCTGCATATACACCCAAATCGATCAATAATATTAGAATATGATAAATCAGCCCGAACCGGCATACTAATGGGATGCCCTAATACGTTACTGTTTGTCCCATTTTTGTTGCATTTTTTTCTTGTTATTTTTCCTTTATTTTTCCCCCATATTAGTTTTTTTAGTTAGTTTTTATCTCGTTTTGTAGTTTATTGCGTGTTTTCCTCTATCTTGGTTTTTCTTGTGTTTTCCGTATGTTTTTCCGGTTTTTCTTGTTTTTGGTGTGCAGGTCAGAAGCCCGTGAGGAATAAGTTTAGCTTGAAAACGGACTGAGAAATCATTGTTAAATAGATGGGTTCGTTGGCTACAAGTAGAAAAAAGTGGAACTCAATTCCGAGTTCAGACGAATCCGAACGGGGTCGAAACGTAAAGTCCAGCAAGCTGCCGACCGTTTGAAGGTTGGAAAACTCTAGAGGATTGTACTATTGGCAAAATCTGGTCATGAAAGTATCATTGAATAGAGGGGTTCATTAGCAACGCGTTGGAAAAAACGGAACTCAATTCCGAGTTTGGACGAGCCCAAAACACAAAAGTCGCGCAGCCGAGCCAGCAGCCCCGCGCGCCGCGGCGCGGCAACCCTCAGCGGCGCGGCACTGACCCCCTCCACGGCGCGAAACAGCCCCACGCCGCGCCACACACTTCCTCCACGGCGTTAAGCACTCCACGGGCCTTCAGAGAGTGCTGCTTCGCGCGCCACGCCGTGCTACCCCTGCCGCGCCGCGCCACATGGATGCTCCGCGCCGTGCCACTATTTCTCAAGCCGTGAAGACCTGCTCTTATATATATTTGCATCGGAATTTCGACAGAGGGAATTCTTCCCTTCTGGGGATGAACCCTAGCCCGTAAAAAACACGAAACTCCTTTCTCCTTCCCTTCTTCTTCTTCTTCTTCTTCTTCATTTTTCTTCGTTCTTTTCACTTTTCTTTTCCATTTTTCTTCTTCTTCTTCTTAGTTATCAAGGATTAAGCTTTGTACTTTGGGATTCAACACTTCGACTAAAATAAATTGTTAGTTTCTTTTTTCTTTGAATTAATTCATGAATAATGATTGATTTGGAAAAGATGATTATTGGTGTTGAATTTATTTTACGTAGCTAATTTTTATTGCTAGGGATAGGGGATGATTGTTCTTGTTTAACGTGCATTTGTCGGGCTCAATATTGTTCTTGCTTATGTGAGTTGATTTAATTCAGAATTGATGAAATTATGCTTGATAGTTTGATGTAATCGAAGGGTGACACTTCGATCTTGCAATTGGTAACAATTGGATATTGAGTTGTCGAGTTTGGTTTTATTGATTTCAATGATTAGTTGATTAAACACCTTCTAATTAAATTAGCGACTTTCTGAACCGAAAGGGGAGAAGTCGTAGACCTAGGCTCGCATGAGGTAGATAATTTTGTAACTGAATAATCTATGGTTTGAGATTGAAATACGTGCTTATCAATGACCTGTCCCTTGTTACGAAAAGTTATTGAGATTGGAATAATTGTCCTGTGTTGTATGCTCGAGCTTGTTCGTCTATGTTCATCCCTTGTTACGAAGAGTTATTGGGAGCGAACCTCTAGATGTTTAAGCGAGAGTGTCAATCTCGAACCGAACGATTAATTGCCCGGCTTTGTTAGAACTTGAATTAATTATCCCCGATTCCCTAGCTTCTCAATCTTTGTTCTGTTTATATATTTTTTTTAGGTAGATTATTGTTCTGTTTCATTTCTTAGTTAATAGTTCATCCAATCTGCTATCTGATTAGAGTGTTTAGGATCTATTTTCTTTTTACGTGTGATCGATTCCAAGCTGAATTCCGAACTGCCTTCCTCGTGAGATCGACCCGAGGTCGGGAGTCATCCCGTACTCGGTAAAAATATAATTTGCTACAACAAATTTGGCGCCGTTGCCGAGGAATGCAAGTAGGATATGTAGTTTTGGTGTTTGATCTTATTTTCTGTGTTTCTCTTTATTTTAGTATTTTTAGTGTTTTTGTTTCTTTTGTGCATATGTGTTTTTCTCTTTTGTTCTTGTTTTAGTTTTTGCCTTCTTTTTTCTTCTTTTTTTCTTGGCTACGCGTGGTTGTTTGGTTCTGGTGTGCAGGTATAATGAATTTCAATCACGGGTACTCCTCCCTGCATTACCCATCTTGGAACGACGAGCCGGTATATTTCCCCGGGTACCACACCCAACCTTACCCGTATTCTTCCGAGCAGTGCTGGAACAATCTTCCG